GATGACCACTTTTAGATCTCCTCAGTCTTCTCAAGGTCAAATTACTTAAACTCTTGCAGCCTTTCCTTACAGGTGATATTGTCTGTAGCTCTGATCATTCTTACTGCTCTCCTATGGCTTCTTGTTGCTCCACCTACTTTCTGAAATGCTGTTCTGAAAACTGGGCAGAGCATTCAACCGAGCCCTGGCTGGGGCTGAAGGGAGGGGAGAGATTGGTCATACTCCTCTTGGTCACTACACAAACACCCAGAAATCCCCAGGTCTTTTCCTGAAATTGATACCTAACGAGCTGTTCCCTACATTTTGGGAAATATGTTGCCTACATTTGGGTAGCTAACTGGTTTTGCTTTTGTGTGAAGCTTTGCACTTATCCTCACGGAATCACTTCTTTTTATTAATCTTAAAGTATTATTCCACCATGTTAAAATCCTTTTGAATTATAAACCTGTTGGCTAGAAGGATGTAATGCAAGATTTCAATTCTACAAAAGCAGTATAAACAGGAATCAAGAGCTTCCAGGAAAGAAAGATATGACTAATTATCAGAAAAATATTTGGTTTATTGTGCAGTTATAAATGTCTGCCCAGAGTGGAGGGGTAGGACGAATTAAAGAGGTAATTACAAACCTGATTACCAGGGAATGGAAGGCCTTAAGGGATATGGATAATGCCAGGAGAAGGTTAAAGTTTAGGTCACATATGAGAAGAAGTGAAAAGACTAGAAAAAATTCAGCTCCAAAAGAAAAATCAAATGTATAACAAACCATAGTATCAGAAGCAGGAAACACAGCCAGAGAATTTGACTAAAGCCCAACATTTACAACACTTTTTTAACCTCATCTGTGACCCACAGAGGCCCCAGGGGAAGATGTTGACTTCTCCCAGCTCATGTGTTACAAAAGCTCATTATATTTAAAGGAAAACCTCCCTGGGAAGCTTATTTAATTTAACATCACGGTTCAAGTGAATGGATGGGAAGATAAACAGAGATGGGGATTGCTGGCAGGCAAGTAGGGTGGCCCAGCTTTCCAACTGCTGCAGAATTTATTCATTGCTAAAAAATGAAGTTCTTACAGGTATCCTTCACATGCAGTCTGGAGTCAATCATCAGCCTGAGCTGGCTTTGGGGCATAACTTGGAGTTAAAAAGAGAAGGAAAAAAAAATCTGGCAGAAGTCCTGGGGACACTTGTCTTCTTCATCTAACCAGATACCAATAAGGCATTTAGGATAAATCAGCAATTAACTAATTTCTGGACTCAGCTGGATGTGGACTAATGGATCAGTGCAAAGAGGCCAAGGTAACCCAGGGAGATACTTAATTTTGTCTCAGCCAATTCTGTGCAGAAAGGCAGTCTAGCAGGCAGCAGCCACTCGTGGGGAGGATGGAGGTTGATTCTCAGGAGCCTCTAAGTACAGTTCTCTGTTTAACACACAGATTGGGAAATGGGATTGTAATCTGAGGCATGACACTTTTGAATAATTAGATGTGAGAAATTCAGCGTGCACAACACATGAAGCTGCCAAAGAATGAAGGGGGGTCAAAAACCAGAGAATTTCCACAGTCAGTTTTTGATACCATGGAAAAATGGATCATGAGATGAACTACAGTAAAAATACAGTTAGCCAGAAAACAGTCTCCAAAATGCCATAAATGCACAGATTTCATGACAAATGGTAGAAGGAAGTGAACAGCAGGGCACAAAGGTTAGAGGTAGAAAGACAAGCAACTCTTTTTTTTTAGCTTGTGGACAATTAATAGTGAGAGTTCTCCTAGCAATAATAACATTATCTACGAAGTGGAGGGGAAAGGTTGCGAGTGGATTAAATTATCAGTGTCGGCAGCAAAAGATGAGGAAGAAAGAAGCTAAAATTTTTTCCAACTAATTAGCCTTGAATGGAGAAGATGACATGGAAAAATGCACCACAAATGTGTGAACACTGGCTGGAACCTGGATGTCCAAAACACAAGCAGAGAGGATAACAAATTGCCTGGACTTACAGTAGATAATAAAGACACACTTGGTAACACAAGAGGCTCTTACAAAAACGGGTGGTGGACGCGCACTGGTCTCAAGAGAACCAGCTGACAGTGGCTGTTGTTTCCAGTAGAGAGGAACTGACCAGGCTGGGGACGTTTCCCAGGAAGGCAAAGACAGGACATGATTGAAATTTAAAACCGCAGATTGAAATGTTAAACCCCAGAAATTCACTGTCTACTGAAACTACTGCGGAATGGCAGAAAGAAGAACGGATTCCATTCCACTCCCTGGATGTTTCTGACAACCTGCTAATACCAAAAGGAAGTGTGCCAGCCAAAAGTGAGCCTGTGAGCCAGGGAACATAGTAAATGTTGGCACAGAATGAGGCAACACAGGTGGGAAGGAGGAATGAAATCCCAAAACATTTCTGGGGCTTCTTCTGCTATGGCACTATATACTCTACTGTGGTGCAGCAGAATATTTGAAGGGAATTTCTGGTTTGTCTTCCATCCAGATGACTGCTGATACGCCTTGTCCAACTGAGGAGTGACATAAGACAAAAATTCAGGTTGGATAGGACCTCAGGATGCCTCTAGTCCACCTTTCTGCTCAAAGTAGGGTGAGCCGTGAGGTCAAAACCAGGTTCCTCAGGGATTTCTCCAGTCTGGTCTTCTAATGGTGAAGTGACAACAGATGTTTTAGGCCATTGAAAAAATATATCGGGAAACTACAATACAAGCTTGAACCCATTCTTTGACCTCCTTTTAAAATCATATTAAACAAGAAATGAGAGGAACAGGCTTTGACTCCCAAAACATGAAAAAAGTTTAATTTCAAGGGCCCCTTCTCAATCATTACCATGAAGAGATGATGTCCTGGATACTCTAGCAGCTTCAATCTTTTAATCTACTCTCAGTTTTGAAAAACTGAGACATGTTTTCCTCCTCATGTGTAAAATGCCTTGCTCACATAAAATCTGAGACCAGTGCTTGAGCTGTGGTTATTATCAAGTTGGCCCAAGGTTCAAGATCAGTCATGCCATCCCACAGTGGTGTGTGGACAATGGAAGATTTACAAGCAGGTAAGTATTGGCCATGCCATCCATGCAAGCACCAGCAAAGAGCTGTGCTGTTCCATTTCCCTCGAACACTGAGTTAAAAGTATGTTCAAATAGCTCTCCTTCCCCGCTACTCCACATGGCAGATGAAGAGATTTTCAGATGATCTAAGGGAACATTCAGGCCATAAACAACACACCTGAAATTAAACCCAAAGATACAAATCAGTTCAAAAGGGGCTATTACCGTGTTCAGAGAATCAGTGAACGAAATTTCTTCTCAAAAGGATATCTGAACCTCAGTACAACCGACCCTTTCCCTCTCCACATCTATTCTGTGATTTCCCATGCTCATTGATCAGTACTTTTGTAGGGTTCTGCAATTCAAACAGAAGTTTTGTTTCTTGCTCTCCCAGTACCTCTTCATGGTTTGTGACAAAAAGGGAATCATTCTAGAGATCAAGAGTTTTAAGGATGGAAAAGGGTTGTTCCTGCTCAAGCCTAACCATGTTTCAAAGTCCCTTTCACGCAGAACCAAAATAACCTGAAAAGGTGGCCTTTTATTATATAATAAGGGTCTTGAGTTCTCTGGTGTGAAATTATTGTGCTGCCCAAAGGAATTCCTGGCAGTCATCACATACTGAACAGTTTCACCTGTATTTATTTGGGAGGAAATCTGTGGTCAGGACTGGTCTTGCTTCCCTATAATGGCTCTTTAGATTCAGACCTCGCCTAAGGTTTGGAAAAACTGCTCTGCCCAGATTTTATAGTTACACATAGATCAGCACACAAGTGTGATGAAAGTGATGCCTTGTCCAGAGGACCTTGCTGGGAAGTGATTGCAAACACTACTCTTTCTCAAGTGGAGAAAGTTTCTCAGTTTATTTACTGGAGAATCAGGAACACTGGAAAGATATTGAGTTCACAGTATGCATCCTGCAAGTTGTGGGGACACAAACTGCACCAAGTCTTGAGATCTTGGTCAGCAACAATCCTCCAAAATTATGCCAGTTTGCCTTTTGTTCTCACACCAGTGTACACAGAATGATCCCTTGGACACATGTGGAAAAAGTTGTGCCTTACTGCTTGGTCCTCTCCCTTTTGGAGGCTGACTCTTGGGAAATTTAAAACCATGAAGAAACTGCGACACAAGGAGAATAAAATATTAACTTTGCCTGGTGTATGACAACCTCTACAAAGTGCACACATCTGGGGAACTGTGACTGACAGTCTTTTGTAAAAGGTTGTGTTTGAAAATTTGTTCTGTATGGTGACCTCTACATTTCTGTAGCTTCATATTTGAACAGATGTCAATTCACACAAGCGGACTGAGATTCTTTTTGTTCTTAAGCATGTTTTTGTTATTTGTTAGGCTGAAGAGTATTCCTAGTGTTGTTCAGGACGTGAAAAAATACAATATCCAGTTTAAAAGTAGGTATCCTAAGAAAAATACACAAGATGGAAATCAGCTGGAAATGTAGAAAAAAAATGATGCTTCCTCCATATAGTAGGAAGGTCAGCAATGTAGCCTTAGAGGAACTGGGCTTAATTAGTACAGGCCTCCCGAAAACAGCAGGTCTTTAAGAGGAGCGAACCACATGAGACAGCAGAACAATTCACTTATTCAATGCCACTGCAAACACAGAAGGCTTGAAAATAGCAAAAAGCAGAAGAAAATTTGTGCCACCTCTTCTCTGTTGGAAAGGTGGAATCAGGCCCAGTGGTCACACGACCTGGTGCAGAGTCAGAGCCACCCAGGCTGGACCCCCAGCCAAGGAGCTGCCCCCCATTAATATGCAGAAGGTTCTGACTTCGCTTACATGATCACTGCCAATTTTATAGCTATAAGAATCCATTTTTAGAAACTACTGACTCACTTCAGCTGACAGGTTATGTATGATTAATAAGCAACATAAGAAAACAATGTTTAATAGTTTAATGCCTTTTAAGTACAATGAAAAATTATTTAACTCTACAAATTAAAAATGCTGCAAAGTCTTTGTAACCATACATTTCTAAAATTTAAACTGTATAACTTTGATGTCTAATGATAAAACATACTGAACACCTCTTAAAAAGTTTTGTGTTTGACTTCAACCTCTGAATAATTACTAGCAGACTCTGAGGACAGCTTCATATTCCACAAGCATGGAGACAGAATTTGTAAAACAGTAATGTTATGAAACAAGCTCTTTTAAGGAATAAACTCTACAGAAAACCAAATTATCAATAAAAAATCCAAACATTAGAATAAAAGCCTGAATCCTTAGATGCACAAGGCAAAATCCTAAAATTTATCCAAACAATATTTAGCATTACATAAGTAATAAAAGTAATAAATTAGGCAAAACTATAATATTTCCTCTATGCTGAGGTTACAGTGTGCAAGTTGAGTTTGAAATTAACTGAATTGACAACAATCTGGTTATTTTTATTGCATTTATGCTTCTAGTTTTGTTTACTTGTTTTGCTCCAAAATTCTAGATAAAAATCAAGTTCATTTCCAAAGAACTCTTTTTCTTACTCTGGGGAACAGGACATTTAATATGTCATGAACACCAAGCATCTGCATTCTACTGACAAAATACAAAATAAGCTGAATACAACAGTTAAGCATTTGCTGATACAGTTCAAATAGCGCCAGTGTAGAAGTATTTTTACACACCCACCTCACAAAAAAATTAACATTAAAGTCTAAACATCCCTCCAACTCAAATCTATTTGTGATGTTCCCAAAGGGTTAATATCGTCTTGTTTCATTTCTTACATGTAGTAATTTAGCTCTGAACAAAAGCAGCTCCCCGCTGGTTACCTTGGCTAAAGGAAACACAATGAACTGGTAGAAACCAGTTTTATCTCACTGCTGTTGCCTAGGGCTACAGACAAAATGAAGTAAAAAAATTCACATGCAGAGTATTAGGTGCTTATGAAAGATCCAGCAGCGCTGTTGCCTAGTGATTCAGCGAGGAATCAGCACAGGCCAATGAGGTGTTCGGGTACTGAATAACATCCCTGATGGCTGCTTTACATCTCCTGCAATTCTGTCATACACCCCCATGATTTCCCAGTGGTGAGAATCACTTTCAAGGGAACCTGTCAGAATAAAAAAAAAAAAAAAAAACCAAACACAAACATTTAAACAAACAAACAAATTGCATATAGCAAGATTACTATTTTTGCTCTTCCCTTTGGATGTTAGTACTGCTCTAGATTACATACCTATCCATCATGTAGTGTCCTTCGTTTCTATTAATACTCAATTATTGCAACAATTTTGACTAAAATACCTTAAAAATTAAGACTAACCTTTAGTTTTGAAATTGCAAATACATGTTACTGAATTGCAAGGAATACGCTAACACAAAATTCATCTTATTATGCTTTTCAAAAGGGCTAAAAAATCATCATGATGATTTTGATATTTGTCATCAGCAATTTTGTAAGTAATGCATAAAGATATATGAGTTTCTTTACCACCTACTTTTCAAACTCTGGGGTATTTTTATTGTTGCTTTGGTTTAATTTCAGTTTGTTTTGCAGTTCCTGGTGCTCTGGTACACAGTAGATTTGCTGACATGAAAGCTGCCTCATTAGCAAGGACTCTATTTTGGAAAAAAAGCTACTTCAAAGATAAAGCATTCTTTACCTCAAAGAAGAAGAAGAGATCTCTCCCCATTAAGACTGTATATGTGCTCTACTTTAGTGACATTTTGTCTCCATATTAAAAAATAATATTCATATTAACAGAGCACATAACATATATTTAGTTGAAGTAAGTCTGCTGAAGGAAAACAGGAGCATTTCACAAAAATCTTTTCATCTTCAGCATCTCTAATCCTTGAAGATATATTCTTACTGTATAGAAGGGTAAACAGCATGAATAAAAATACAAACTTCTTTTTAAGAGATCACTCTCAATTTCTTCTCTGAGATCAAGCTGTTGGTATGTTATGTTTTCTATCTGGCCTCTGACACTGATCTCTTTGTGATGCTTCAGAGGAAGATGAAGTATCTTCATGATGCATGTAGTCTAGAGTGCTGTAGGAGTAAAAGTATGTCAGGACTCCTACAGTAATTTGCTCAGGAAAAGGAGACCAAACAAGGGTAATGAAATGTATCTCTCCAAATACTTCTACTGCCTACTAAAAAGCCCTGATCCTTGAAACCCCCCGAGAACCGCCTGTTGTCCAAGAATGTTTCCTTTCACCTATTAAAACATAGCTGGAGTTTGAATTTAAACAGAGAACTATTCTTCTAATAGGAATGACATATTGAATCCATTTGCTAATGCATAGAGATGAATTTGTCAGTGTGTGACAATAGGACACCTCAGACAGAGGGGAATAAGGTGATGTGTCCCATTTTGTCCACGGGACATTGAAACCTTCTGCCAGACAATGGTTTGTCGGAAATATGGAACACTAAAATGATATTCTGCCCATGTAATTTTGAACATTCTCAGTATCCATGTAAACATTTGTCTTTCTTAGAAACCTATTAAAGTGTTCATATTTATTTCATGGCAATGATTTCCTCAGGCAAAGTATGCACGTTGTTGCCTGTCAAAAAGCTACCAAAACGTCTTCTAAGGAAGGACTATAGTGTTGCTATTAACTTTGTATGTCACCACTAATACCACATTTGATTATTTTTATGAACTTTATAGCAGCATGAGTGTAAATACATGCTTTTAATTACAGTTAAAAATATTTAAATGTAGTATAGCTTGCAATTAAAGGTAATTGAAAATATTTAAATGTAGTATACCTGGAAAAAACACTCTTGCTTCTCTTTTTCTTTTGAGGAATTTGTAACAAAAGGAGCTAGGCAAACACAGGTGTACAATGTAATCAACCTATAGAAATGCAGTTTGTAAAGCTTGGGAGTGTCTTCTATCAAGCAACAAAGGCTGAGTAGTTGACAAGGGTGAAGGGTACCAGTAGAGAGAGAAATATAATTATTTTATAACATAATTACAAAATATAGACAGATGCAATAGCTGTGTAGCTATTTACTCAGTTCCTTCAGATGCTGGTCTGCAGATGATGTCCTCTGCTTTGAACAGTGACCAAGGATTTTGTCTGCTTTGTCTGTTAGGCATTCACATGGAAATGTTAAATAGACCCTTTTTCTAAGTGAAAATTACTGAAGAAAGATCTTTTGCAATATTTTTTCAACAGTAACAAATTCCTGGCACATCTAGAAAGCCTATTAAAGGGACATATTTTTCACTCTACCACACCCAACAGAAGTTTCATGGCAATGAATGAAACAGATTTTGAAATTACCATACTGCATTGCTAAGGCAATCTCACCTTCCAAAAGGGAGGTTGACTTTCTTTCAGTTATTTTCCTTTAGAATTTTTATAGTAATTTTTAAAAGCAATTACCCACAAATATGAAAATGAAACAATTGAAGTGGAAAGCAAAATAGTTTTTGCTAGATTTTTGATATGATGATGATAATGTACAAGGCTAAGCATGCCTGAGACAGTAACGGAAATTCAGAATTATCCCTACCTTTAGTGGCACTTCCAAGGCTGTTGTTTGCTGCAGGGACTCCATTGTTCTTTTTACCAGTGCTGTAAGGTTAATTTGAAAACCTACAACTTTATTTGCCATTTTAGCATTGTTATATATATGTATATATATAAAATCACATGCTTTATATTGTTATATAATACTTGGCATTTCTGTATAAAAAAAATTACCATTTACAACTTTTTCAGATTATTTTTAAGTTATATTTTATCTCTTGTGGAAGCTTCAATTTCTTATTTTAAACCAAATTTTACAGTAAAATATGTAGAATTATTTAACTTCTATATCCCATATATAAAGAAGTACAGCACTAATATATTTCATATAGAGGTACATACAGCATATCTGAATGCTGAATTTCTCAGCTTTTAAGTTCAGTACTCATAACTATATGTTTGGTTACATTTTATACATTTGAATTTTTTTGTGCAGCCATAAAACTCAGTTAAAAAGAGAAGAAAAAGCTAGTGAAAAAAACCATGAGAAGTCTAAACTTTTTAAAATATCTTATTCTTCAAAGTAAAAAGATCAGAGCCAAATTTTAAAAAAATCTTCCCTGTGGGATAGTGGAGCTCTCAAGAATCTAAACAATTAAACTTCAGTATAATTCATGTTACTTAACAACTCATCATGCCATAACACTGTGCTCACTATTACTGTGCAAATGCATCTATAATTATTCCAAATCAATCACATGGGATCAGATTTGTCATCATTGGTCCTGCTAATTAGTGTTTTGCTTGACAAAGATTGCTGCTGCAACACATATTGTTCTAATAAAAATCAAAGAGAGATTCAGTGGCTAAACAGTTTTTTTTAAAAAAAGTTAATTTTTGGCTAGTGAAAGTGAAATAGGAATACCAGGAAGCCCCAAAACACAAGATATGGAGCAACTCTCCACTGCTCTGACAGGATGGATGACTAAATAATGGATGTGGTCATGTGCCTCACAGAAGTGGGGGATAGCAGGGAATGTGGTACGAGGTGCTGGAGCGAAACCCACGTGATTACCGAGAAGCTTCCTTTGAAGTTATCCCCTGATGCACATCGTGGCTCTTTGGCAGCTGAGGTCAGAGGCAAAAGGAGCAACAAGGACTGTAAGAAGCTGTGTATGGGTTGTCGCTCTGGCTGCTGCCAAAACCTCCCCTAATGATGCCAGCAATGAAGAGCAGCATGAAATGTTTGATGTCACATGGGTGACACTGAGGATGGCTTGCTAATCATGATGAGGATAAGTAGCTTCTGCCTGAACAGAAGTGCAGAGCTCAGGCCGTGCTGGCGCACTCAGACTTGCATGCTAATGAGCTGTCATGAGCTTTTCCATCAAGTCCGAATTATGCAGTAACTCAAAGGATCGGCGGCTCAAATGCCAAAGCTGAGGAAACCAAGGCATTTGTTGACACATCTATGCACAGCTACACCTATGTATTTGCTTCATGTTAGATCTGAGGTAGTTCATCCAGTGTAGGACACGGCGTCATTTTTGGAGCGCAGAAATGAACATTGCAACCGCAGATTGTGAAGGGAGAAGTGCTGGCCTAAATAATTACCCATTTGAAATCCAGTCCAAGTCAACATGGCTATTAATAGAAGAGTGCTGGACTGAGAAGCCCACTCTGAATTTCAACAAGCTGTTGGCTCCAGGAGGTCAGCAACACAGCAGACGCTGGGGCACCCCAGCCAGGTGGGATGCCTTCAGAAGGCTAAGTGGGTGGCCAGTAAGTCCTGGATAAACATTTTTTCCATCAGTAAGCTCCCTACCAGGCAATGACTCCGGAAAGCTTTTGAGAGGATAACACCTGGATTCTGCACTTCTCATGCAGAATCACTCAGCTCTGTATGTTCCACCACAGCACTTACGAAGGGCACACTCAACTCTGTGCAACTTCGCATTTTTTTGTGTTATTAGACAAATAACAGGAACAGAGCATTTGGGCAAAAGGGGGAATAGGTCTTCTTCACAAAAAGAGCTCCAACAGACAACAAAAGATGGAGCATGAGTCAGTAGCATCAATTCATGGGTTGAAAGATATGAGTGATATGATAAAGGCTGCTGTCTGCATATGCACTGAGTTAGACGAGTTTTCCCCTAGTTCTCTAGACCTCTGAATTTGACTACTTCCCTCCTATTCAACTGTTATCCACAAAAGGGGATTCATGATGGTAGCAATGATTGCAACAGCTTTCTCTGTTGGTTGACAGACTTTTCGCTCTAAGGCATCTGGCACAGTCAGAATTCTGCTGTGTTCTTAACTGTTCTTAATTTTAAAAAGCACAGATTAAAATGGCCACATTAGTGAACAAACCAAATGGTCCCTCATTCACTTTGACAACCATTAAAACCCTCTCCATGGGTTTGCTCCATTTTCTTCATTCCTTTTTTCTGTGTCAGTTTGGCTCCCTGTTCTCTTTCTCATGTCACACTGACTTCTTCTCTACCCAGAGTTTAGTGGGTGGCAGAGTAAAGCCATTCATTTCAAGCAATCTGAGTTGTAGTGCCTGCATTTCAGCCTTTTGAAATCACACCTTTCCAAATATACAAAAGATTTACCTACATCTACTTTACCACAGATTTTGAATGAAATAATAAGGATATACTAACAGAAATATCAAGAAAAGGCAGCTGGATTGCCATTCCTGTTCAGTCATCTGCTAAGATGGTAAACAGGGAAGAAGGAAGCATTTAAACTAAATTACAGTCTTCGCACAAAAATAAATAGGTATAGTGGCTGAATACATTTAGGCTGGAAATTTAAAGTTCTAGATTTTGGAGAGATGAAATTCTGGAACAGTCCCTAGTGGGAGTAATTTTTCATGTGGAGATGATAATTTATAAAGGAGACCATATGGCACGGGGGTATGTAATCACAGGATAGGCCCCCTTTAGTCCTATGTACATAATATCTGAGTCTCACGCTACTTTCTCAAATCTCCTTGAAACTCCTCTCTTTCTCAAAGCTCAAAATAAACAACCAGACATACACAACTCTATCTTCTTTATCTCATACACATTTTAAAGTGCGGTCACTAAAAAAGGAACCGCAGTGTTTAAATAGATCTGTGTCTACCACTCTTAATTTTTTATTTCTTTTCTATGATTTAGATTAGAGGCTTTGGGAATAATAATTATTTCTGTTCAGTCAAGGATCTAGTATATCTGGGGCACATAAATTATTAATTTTAAAATGTTCCTTTACAGCCAGCTATATACTGCAATGGCATCTGTAAAATGCTGCTCTCCCAATCCTTGTAATTTGTCTCTCAAAACCCAGAGTCAGCAATTAGGAGAGCTGTTGATTATACTCGTTCTGAAATGCTTTGTAAGTGCTAAGTACGTACACTGAAATATTATGTTTAAAAAAAACCTGGTGACAGCAAAGTTAAAAGATTATAAGGGAACTGAAATTTTAACGTATGTTTTAGCATATACTAGATTTTCTTGATACTGGCCAGGATAAATATGGTTATTGAAAGTGCTGTGAATAGGAACAAAGGAAAGACACGCATGCCTGCTGTGGAACAAAAGCTTATTTGTCCCTATCGAACTGAAGACATTTTTCAAGCGCACTCACCTATGAAATTATGAGTCCAGAAACATGTCAAAGCTGGCCAGACATATGATCTATGGAACAGGGATTTTTGCAAACTGAAGGCTATCTGGAGGCATCTTTAGTTTATGCACCAGTGTTTTTCAAGTTAGAAAAAGGCAGCTCAGAGGACAGAAAATGTCACTAACTTGTGATGACCAGTTCATTCTTTTGTTCTTCTGTTACTTGAGTCCCCTTTTGAACATGTGCACATTTTTATGCAGCTGCCTCAGTGCCCATTAAGGGGGAAATTGTAGCAGAATAAAATGAAATTTCATGGAATTTGTGTACAAGCCAAAAATTTGTACTGGCAGATGATAAAAAACCCTAAGATACTGTTCTTTAGGTAGTAAGATTCTGAATTGATATGAATAGCAAAATAAATAGGCTTAGTTTAATCTTGATGGGTTTTTTTCCTTAAACTGGTCCTTCTGGTGTTCTTAGATAAAGTATTTCAGCTGCAATATTTTATACCTGGTAAAATATTAGAAAAATTGTTTAAAATTCTAAGTGTTACATGTACAAAATATAAGAACAGATGCAGAAATCCTTTAATTCTATCAATAAGGTATAATTATGAGTTCTAAAATAAACCTCTAAAAATTAGTCTAATGCCCTGTGATATTGAACACAAAGTACTGAAACACATATATTTCTACAGAAAGATGTTACTTCAAAATACCAAGTGGCTTTCATTTAATTATCACTAATGGATCCAATTAAGCAGGCAGAAAGACATGGAAGGATCCATGGTAATCACCATTGGTAAAGTTCACCTTTCAAATCCACCAGGTATTTACAGAACACACATCAGAAGCCAGATTTTACAGTTGTAACCAGAGGTATCCCTTTACTTAAAAAAAAAAAAAAAAAAATTGTTCTGCATTTCTTCACCCCAAAGTGGATTTCCCCCTTTTAGCAGTAGAGCATTCAGAATAATCCAAGGGCAGACGAGGCATTTCAAGCACAGCATGGAGTGCCAGTGCAAGAAACAGTCCCCACAAAATAAAAAACTGGGTTCTGCAGTTCCTGAATACTCTTCCAGAGTCTCTAGACAGACTCACTGTCTGATCTGGGGACAGTCTATCTACCTGATTACACAGACTTCAGAACTAGAGATGCTGAGGCTTCTCAGATCCAAGAGCCCAGTTTTTGGCATTCCCAAAATATCATCTGCCTTTCTGCTTCCTGGGCTGCTGGAGAACTCAGGATGTGAGGAAGCCAGGCAGGCAAGCTGGCTAGAAACCAGGCATATTATTGATGGTAAAGCTGAGAGTCTTTCTGCCAAATGTTTTGATTTGAACATCCCAAGCACCCTCTAATAGGAAATTAGGATTGTAAAAAGCTCTTTTGCTGTCATGTTCTTGCCCTAAACAGATAACTGAGGGAAATAATATGCCATATCTTTGCTGAAAATTACACAGTTCAGAGTAGGATGTGCTTCATGGTATTTCAGACTGTGTCAAAGCTTGGACACTCAAAGCCTTGTTATAAATAAATGATGTTTTGCCTCATCCATTCAGAGCGAGCCATATGTATACTACAAAAGGGTGGGTGACAGATTCTGTTGGAAAAAGGTATTCTTGCAAAATACAGATAACACCTAACTTGTTACATGCAGTGCTTTGTGCAGAAGTAGATATCAGAGAAAAAGAACACCTTATTGTTTACCTCTTGTTTATCAGATTCAAAAGATTCAAAATCATCTGTGCGTTATTGGATGCATTATAAACTGGATTTCTGTATACTGAAAATTCTTATTGGGGTCTATGAAGTCCTAACCACAACTAGAGAAAGCACCAGCATTATGATTCCTTGTGGCAGTTCTCAGCCTCCATTCAGGAGAGTCTTAGAAGCAAACAGACATTTTAATCTTGTATAACAATATAAAGGAAACACTTCTGTGAGGGAAATGCTGCTGAAAAGGCTTATGTTCTGCACTATGATCTAATGAAATAATACTATTTACCTATATGGCCTTCCTTTATAAATGTAAAAATATTTAAAGATTTCATATTCATTCTGCAAATAAGAAAACAGAGTTTGTATTTGTAGTTGCTATACTGGAAAAGTAGATCAGAAGCATGATTGGAATCAGAATGCAAACACACTGAATAGTAGGCCAGTGCTTCTTGGATCACACTAAATGCAGGAGAATAACACAGCACTGAACTGTAGTCCATTAAAGCCCTCAAACACTGCTCTTTAGCTTTAAGTCCACGTCTTTCCTTTTACTGAGCTTTGTGACTGTACAACTGAAATTTCTCTCTGGATCATTAAACTGCAGGCTGGAAACTGCAAGTCAGCAGATTCTGTGATTTAAAGTTTCTGAATGGACAAAAGCTCATTAGATATGTAAAGACAAAGCTGACAGCTAAAGAATATTGGCAAATAAAAGTAAGAAGAGTAAGGGCTTACAAAAAAAAGGTGAAAGAATTTTGGGCAAAGAGATGAAAACCATATTTTGACTTCCAAAGCACTAAAGTGAATTAGGAGCAGGCATCCTAGTGACACTTCTTTGGTTTAAAACCCATATACCTAATCTGTTGCCTCAGTTAGCAGCTCCCAAAATAATTGGAAAAGATTAGGAGAAAAGAGTGCTCCTATTTAGTTTTATCTGAAAGGAATCTAGGTCAACTGCTCTCAGACTGCTCTGTGATGTGAACCAAAACTGTTCACACCATGGACTGGGACAATAGGGAGATCTGCTTCAGCATGTACTTCTGACTGAAAGTTGGATCCTAGTGCAGATGCACCCTTTCTCTGCCTATTCAGATCAAGCAAAATCCTCATTAATGGCACTGAAGAAGGGCCAGCTTTGGGCCCTTTTAAGACAACCTGGATTAGTTTTTTTACCATTAGTAGGACTATTCACAAAACACAGCCAGGGAGGTTGGAAGGAACCTTTGGAGGTTACCTGGTCCAGCCCATCTTTCATAGGGGCTACATAGGGTTGGTTGCCCAGGAGAGTGTCCAGATGGTCTTGGAACACATCTAAGGATGGAGAGTCCACAGCTTCTCAGGGCAACCTGTGCCAGTGCTCAGCCAACCTCACAGTAAAACTCTGCTTCCTGATCTTCAAAGGGAACCTTCTGTGTTTCAGTTTGTGCCCGTTGGCTCTGGCCCTGTCACTGGGCACCACTGGAAAGAGCCTGGCTCCCTCCTCTATGCCTCCCCCTTCAGATAAGGATATACTTTAATAAGATCCCATGAGCCTTCTCTTTTCCAGGCTGAACTGCCCCAGCTCTCCCAGCCTGTCTTCATAGGAGAAATGCTCCAGACCCTTCATCATCTTTGTGACCCTTCGTTGTACTTTCTCCAGTCTGTTCCTGTCTTGTACTGGGAGCCCCGACCCCAGTGACGAATAAAGAGGAAGGAAATGAACAAATCACAAGATGAAGAAGGAAATGAATGCCCTACGTTGGTCTTTTGTGTTAAGAATAAGACATTCTTCTGTTCTGACATAAGTGAGTATATCTGAAAGTTCCTGTAATGCAGAATTTTCTTTTTTCCTTTGCCTCCTAGGGCAAAGTAGAGACAAATCGAAAAATCAATCTTCAGTCAACAGAATGAAACAAACTCCCACTCAAGCTTGGCAGCCTATGTTAAGTGCAATGACAATTTCCAAGGTATCTCACACCTCTAGAACTGCCCAGGTCCATTTTCTAAAGGTCATCTTAGCGACTTCAATTACAGGGTGATAACTCCGAAGCACGACAAGGAATTTACAGATATGTTTGTCCTGCAGGCTGCAGCTACACCTGGAGAGACACGAGCTGGTTGCTGTGTGGTCTGCACTCCAGTCTTGAGTACCTTTGTGTTTTCAGAAAAAAGCCCCCCAGTCATCACGGTTCTACAGTGGGATAATGCGTTACTGGAGTCCAGACAACAACTAGAGCTTTTTGTTATACTTGCAAAGTATTGATTTTTCCTGAATTTGCTACAAATTCATACTGGTAATACAGATCAGAATTTGACTCAGTGAGGAAAGAATCTGTGATTTTCTAGATGTATATGCAACCATGAATAATTTTCATCTTTTGGGTATAATATTAGTGCTATACTTAATGCAAATTGATGTAAAATAAGATAAAAATCGTTCTATGCTGTCTTACAGATTTCTTACAGTATGCTACACTTCCTAATTCTAAAATTATGTCCCTTTTAGACATTGCCTTTTCTGAGTAGATACTGCAATCTCAAGTAAATTGTATGGTGTTTTTTTTTAATTTAAACCAGATTTGAACTCCTGTATTTAGAGGGTCAAAGGTTAATATATTAACCTAATTCATTACAATGCCCCTAATATATTGAACTGAAATATTTCCCAGGTAGTTTGTTTAGATTAGGTGGAGGTTTAATGTTCTCATTTTGAACTAATACTCACAAGAGGGATCAATGATGAAATGAGACTAATATAGCAAATTGCACTGTTCACATGAATGCAGCACAGGAAGGTGAAAATTAATTTTTTATTAGATGCTTAGGTAATAATGAAAGATATTTCTTGTATGGTTCATTTAAAACATTTGTGACATTCTGCTAATTGTTTCAGCCAAACATGTTGTTCGGCTTCAAACAAGACCAAAGTTTGTGAATAAACATTTGGTGCCTACAGGAATAAATCCACTACTTTCTGGAGAAGAGACCAAAGAGCCTGCTATGTGCCCTCTCTTGTGAACTAAATTTGTACCAGATGCTGAGACAAACTCTGGCTTAGGAAATAATGTCTGGAAGTAAGCCAGATGAGAGGGTGAAAATGTAGGCTGGAGCTTTTACTAACCTTAACCTTGAGAGTGCCATCATAAAGATTTCTTAACATAAAAAAAAGCAGTAAACTAACTTAGAAATTACAGTACATTATATATGGTTACATCAGGAATTTCATGCTTCTTTATGTAACTGGGCCCAATCTAAAGTATTTAGGAAGTTACTTTCCAAACCATACTTTTTAAATAAGGTCTATTTCCTTCTAAAACCCTTAAAAACCTTGGAGAAAATATTATTATTATTTAGTTTTACAGGATTCACACACTAGATGATGGAACGTTGATAAGAAAACTAAATACAAATAAGCATGGTGATGAATTCCAGATGAGAAGTATATCACATTTTATCTACATAAGAGCCAGGGGTGGAAAACATTCAGAAAAATCTGCTTAGTATACATTTTCTTAATTGTGAGAATCAATGTGCTGCTTCTTGCTACATTAGCTCCTTATTCTCTGAGAAATCACAGGATATACAGAATAAAAATGGGGTGGGAGGGAAAGAGCAAGAGAGATTGTATTTACCTGAAAATTCCTGGATTTGAGAATCTTCTACTTCAAACAACAGTTCATCATGGATCTGTGCAATTAACCTGAAAAATTTCAGAGACTTTAGATAACATATGCAAAAAATTCTAACAGTGCTTCCCATTCGTATCATCAACTACTTGTCACACACACAATGATAAGTGAAAATAAACATCCAAAGAAAATTAAAAAATCATTAATGGATTTAAAAGAATTGTCACTCCACATGTTCTGGAAACATAAAGGCCATGGTTGTAAACCCAGACTGGGCTTGCTAACTTATAGAATTCATTCAGGGATTTGATGATGTGACAAGGTATTACTTAAAACCAACGTAATTTGCAGAAAAATGCATGAAATTACGGAGACAGGATTTTTGTTAATATACCTTTTTTCAAGTTGAACTGGAATAAATGTAGTTGCAAATGGATGATTTTACTAATGCAAATTAGGTCAAAAGTAAAAGTGTTTGGCTCACTAATACACCAGTATTAACTCCTAGCTGCTCAGTGACTTGAGCCCTTCCCAGGAAATAATGTTTTCACTTATATGCAAAGTGGGGGGGCCTCATGCTGACAAACAAGTGGGTTGAAGAATAAAGCTGTAGGCACATACACACACCCTGATCCAGTGCCAGTGCCATCGGGACAGTCGCCTTCGTAAGCACAGAGTGTGTAGCTGAAAGCAGTAACGCCGTGAAAGCTCAGCAGCTACACATACCTGAGCTCTTCAGTTAGAGCTGGTTTGTAAGGAGATGGAACTGCTGCTCTGATTTTCTCTTTGTCTGCCACAGTCCTATATTGATAGGTCTCCTGCATAGGCACTGTGATTTATTTGTTGAGTGCTTACAGGAGTAGCACCCTAAATTGCTGGTTTGAACATAAATGAACTTTCACAATGGAAATAATAAATATATTTCATTAAGTCCACAGCAGAATAGATGTAATATAGCACATATAATCCTTGAGTGTGGTAGTAGGAAAAATACAGTATACCTGATTAGACTGTATTCCTATTAGATCTTTTTTATTACTTCTTTAAGTACTGTAGCTGGGAATGTAAGTCATAAAACTGTAACATCCATTTCCAAATATCTTTGCAATTAGTATATAACATAAGAAAGACCTCCTCTCATTAACCTGTTAGAGCAGCTCCAGAGGAGGCCATGAAGATGCTCAGCAGGGCTGGAGCACCTCCCCATGGGGACAGGCTGAGACAGTTGGGATTGTTCAGCCCTGAGGAGAGAAGGCTCCAAGGAGACCTTTCAGAACTTTCCAGTACCTAAAGAAGCTACAAGAGAGCTGGAGAGGCATTTTGCCAAGGGCCTGGAGAGACAGGACAAGGCTAACAGCTTTAAAATGACACAGGGCAGGGTTCTAGACTAAATATAAAGAAGAAAATCTTCTTTATGAGCATGTCGAGGCACTGGAACAGTTGCCCAGAGAAGTTATGGATGCCTCATCCCTGGAAGTGTTCAAGGCCAAGCTGGATGGGGATCTGAGCAACTTGGTCATGTGGAAGGTGTCCCTGCCCATGGCAGGGGGGTTGGAACTAAATGGCCTTCAAGGTCCCGTCCAGTCCAAACCATTCTGTGATCCCATTATTTAAATTAAATGCCCATCGCAGACTTTTCTTAGTACCTAGCAGTTATTCAAGTAAATACTTCTTTGCAAATGGCTGAAACATCAACATGGTTACTAGTAATAACTTTTCACAGTTTCTTAAGATAGTTTCACGCTGCCTTAAATTACAATGTGACATTGACTAACAGTGTGGTGAGCTCTAATAATAGATCTTAAATTATTAGTCACTTACAACACATTCAGAAGCAGAGGGAAACAGATTAACATATTTCTAATAGGAAATTGGGACACAGGATACAAAAAAGAAATAGATGAAAAGACCAGGATCATCCATAGCAAGAGAATACAGTTCCATGAAAAGTTATAATTTCTAATGCAAGTAAATTAATTAAAGCAAGAGTGTCCTCATAATCATTGAAATGACATGTAAAAGATATAAATCAGAACAGTAAATACTAAGGATGAATAAACTGTGAATCAATGGAATGAGTGAAAATAATTGCATTGATTAAACCAGTGCAACAAAAACATGATAGACTGGTTATTGTTTGTACCAGGGTAGTGTCTCCTGCCTTCAGTCAGGATTAGAGAGCCATATATTCTGGATACTTTAGTAAGGAAAAGTCCTTTCTTAGAAGAATTTACAATATACATAAAAAATTTATCATACATTTATCAGAACTTAGGAATGGAGGAAAAGGATTTTCAAAACCACTCAGCATTGCTTTTACTGATCACCTGATCTCTAAAAGCAAAACTGCATTCAGGAGGAGCATGGTTGGACCAGAATTAAGTGTTACCTTTTTTGTGTGCCCAGAAACCCGTGGAAGCAATGTAAATCACCTCACAATTTCTGCATGGACAGCAAAATAAACTTGACACAACTCTACACACTCCACCTGCTGAAAGCAGCACAGCTCTTTTAGCTTGGTTCTCCATCTGGGGTAGAGGATCCTGTTTCTCCTCCTTATCATCCTGAATAGCACAGCCCAGCGGCTCAGTCACATTGCCAGTTAAGTGAGGAACTGCTCAGAGTTGCACAGTTACAGCTACCCCATCTTAAGCATTCAGTGATTAAGCTGAAGTTCAGGACAGTATTTTGTCTGCTAAACACAGGAGTTCACATTTGATGGTTCCCTGTCTAACTCTGCTACTCTCCTAAGCAATGCAAATTCAGGTAGAAAATGGGGATAATATTTGTGAGATCTAAAAAATAAGTATTTCTAATACACTTCTATTTTCAAATGAAAGGTATTACATAAGATTTAACTAACGCTAAACATGATTTCCTAGATTGATGCCAAGAAGTGAAATATACACTATTTCCTCCTAAACATTCATCAATCAAGTTAGATATTTTTTTGGTGATCTCTCACCTCTTTTTCTTATCCATTTCACATCAAATGAATGGGTTCTGCTCTTACAATCTTACAGTATAAGGCCACCTGTATTTTTTCAGGCTTGTTAAAGTTATAATACTTGCATGCAATATGCTGTTCCATAGGAGGAAGCATTCAATTTGGCATCAACACACATGAAAGAAAAAAATCAAAGCAATTTATACATTCAAAATTCATAGCTTTCACCATTCCAGTGCATGCACCCACCCACCCGTTGCACACCTTGAGTGAAAGAAGTTTGAAAAAAACCCTATACTTTTGCTTAATAGCTTAATTGAATCCTCTTCCTTTGAAGGATTATTGAAATAGCAAGCTCCTCTCATTAACTCTTGCTAAGAGGTATGGCCAGCTGGGTTACAAACTGCAAACCAGGCAGAGATGAGGTTTTTTGGTTTGTTTTTTTAGGTTTTTTTTCTACAGATCATAAGAATGCCTTTGATTTCCAAACTAATATTTTATTAACTATTTTCCTGACTGTCTGAAAATTAGGCAAGATTGTCGTAGTAGTCTTTATCAGAGGCTGGTTTTTAACAGCCACATGTAGTGTTTTGGGACATTACAATGTGCCAAGAGTTCCTGAAACTAATTAAATTCATGCTCCTTCTATAGACAAGGGATTAAGGTTGGTTCTGACTTAGATGTTTTGAACTGACATCTGGAAAAGCCCAACTCTATGCATTGATTTTGTGGGGGAAAATCAGTCATTTTCTAATCAGACAGGGGTTTTTTGATTTAAAAAAACACCACGTCCCTGATCATTGAAAGTATTAACACTTTCTGATACAAGAGTATTAGATTTTACATCCCAATTATTAATATTCTTGTAATCCCTTGTAATCCTATGCAATCTCTTTTTTCTACATAATCAAATCAATCAGTGATCAATAAAATAATAATCCAACAAGTAATATCACATTTTTCATTTTGAATCTGAAACCTGTAAAGGCCTAATGGGAGACTTCAAAACTGCAGACATGGGAGTACATGGTTAAAAGTTGTGTATATAAAAATAAGTTTAAAAAGAATCCCCAAAAAGCATAAAAAGCTGTTACATGGCTAAAAAAAAAAAAAAAAAAGATAAAAAAAAAGGTATTTTGAAATCAGACAAATGGGGATATATGAAAAAAAGCAAAACAAACCAAACTCCAAAACCAAAAAGCAAATGGAAACATGTTTTATGTTTTGTAACTGAAAAGAACTTAATGACTTGAAAATCTGAGACATTCACACTTAATAAATAAATATTTAATAGAATAAAATATTGGTTTAAAAGGTATGTAATTAAAGACACTGCCAGAAAAAGCCAGAATGGCTGCTCATGTAAAACAATTGCATGGACTTCAAGAACATTTAGAAATTATGACACCAATGAATTTGTGGGAACTTTTAAATCTTATGTTTCAGAACTTAGACTCGTCCCCACAAGCAGAAGAAGATGAAAATCTGCAGACAGACAGGCTACCCTACTACAAATCTTACACCTCCCTCCTGAAGCATCTGCTACTGGCCACACTCAGCAATAATGGACCAGATGGATGTTGGATCCGATTCTTCTCAGAAATATCCATGTTCCCTACACTAAAACACTACTCATTTTTTTCCTGATACTATCTGTTATTTAGTTTTGCCACAGTTTCCCCACAGAAATACACAGATTCCAGTGGACAAAGTGCCCATTAAGTTGTTCTGTAACTAAAGAACAAGGTTATGGTAATCTTTTAATATTTTATAGAATTTTCCTGTTTGGATTTTTTTTTTTTTTTGCAGTTGCATCTATCAGGATTTCTAATGTGGTACTATAAAAGTTATAGCTCAAGATACATCATGCCTGCATAAATGTCACTTACATTAACTTTAAACTACTTCTTCCAGTGTTTCTGATAAAGACCAAGATATTTTAACATTTTAACCATAAAAATCCAGCTAATTTATGAAATTGGTTTTCTCAGCAGCTACATCATGAAGAGAAGGAAACTGAACAGATGGTTAATTAAAGATAATGGAATTTTTGCATGTATCCAAAGTGTTTGAAAACATACCAATCTAAAAGGTGACCTACAAAAGGGTTTTATAAATGAAATACATTTATTTGCATCCAACAACTAACATATAGGAACCCTGAAAAACCTGCTACATCATGAATGTCCTTTTTTGGCTGTGATATTTAAGCATATTAAATATATTTAGTTCTTTCTACAAAGAATAAATTACTCTGACTTGCTCTGGCTGACTGTGCATGAAGCGTGCAGGTAACAGTTCACCATCTTGTGGATACATGCAAAATACTGCTTCAAATGCTTGAGGAAAAGGATGATTTTCCTAAGTTACAGCCTGCCTAGAAATTCAAGTGTTACTTGGCCACTTTGGGAGGCAAAGAGCTACATATTGGTGGTCTGGGACAGCAGCTATGGGGAGTTCCCAGTCATTTCTGACACAGCAATACAATCTGGGAACTTCCCTTCTGCTACTGAAACAAAAGCATTTGCGTGTGAAACAACAATCTTACTCTCCTCTCAAGCAGAATCCAAAACTTTTATCTTTTTCTTGGGATTCTGTTTCTCCAGTATTAGGCTAAGGGTAAAAGTTGACCATCTTGCTAGAGTTAATCCATATCCTGGATGGGAGCTGTGGGCAGAGTATCAGAGCAATAAGTATTTACTTGAAAATGCTGGTTAACTGGTAGAGAGGAAACATGATAAAAAAAAATTATTTAATTCCCAAAGAAACAGCTAAAGGGACATAAGATTTCTGCTCAGAGTTAAAGAAAATCAACACACATAGCAGTAGCTCTAAGCATTTTACTGAATGTATTTGGTTGAAACTGTGATGTAATCATGCAGTTGGGTTTATTAGTATGCCTTCTTGTATGAACCTGAGAAATGATAAGAAGTCGATAAAGTAATAATGATTGAATTCCTACACACCCTATAAAAATGCCTCTAGATTCCTGTGTTGTACTAAAACTGAAGTCACTTATTCAACAAATGAATCATGTGTGATTTATCGCATGATTTGTATCTGAAAAAAGTCCAGCTCACATAACAAAATGCTTGTTCCTGGGATGACAGGGCCTGTTTCTAACATTTACCTATCTGCAAAAGTGAGCTGCATTTACAGCTCACCAGCTCAGAAAATCATTAGGTTGATTAAGGAGCTTGCTCACTGAGAAAGACATACAAAACCTTCAGCATCCACTGCTATTGAAAAGCAGCTGGGACCAAGAAAATATACCTTTTCCTTTTATTTGCTGGTGGGTTTTCCTTTTCAGATCACTCATTTAGATCTGGCCTGTGGCTGAACCTCTCTCTTTAACTGGGCTCTGGACATGCTGAGAAGTAAAGCTGTGTGTTTGTGGCACAGGTCCAGTGCTGAAGGAACAATAAATTGGTGAGAAAGCAGAATTTCTGGATTCACACCAAATTACTCAATAGTTGTGTAGGCTAGTTAAAATTAATTTACATGTTATTGGGATATTATAATTTTTAATAACTTCCTGAGAAGTCCATGTAGCACCAGGTAGGCTTTGGGTAACATCAGTGCAGCTTCAGCTTACAAAATGATAACATGTACAATCATTGCTATAGGCAGCAATTCTTCCACAATTTGCCAGCATCCTTCTTTCTCACCAAGCTTCCACGTGTCTGCCACTGCAGGGATGTTTTAAACACTGAAAAGAACTACAACTGTAAATCTGAGTTCATTGAGTACCTCTACCCTCTCATCAAACCCATAAACCTTTCTTTCAGCTGCTACTGTATGCCTTGATCTCACTTCAGAAGTTGCTTTGCTATCATCTGCCTGCAGGAAACATCATGTGGAGGTTCTGTGGATTGCATCAGACAGGTAAAAGCTGGCACTTGAATAATTTATGTCAGCAGCACATTTTCAGCAAGCAACTTGGCCAGCAGCAGCAGAACAGCATCTTAAGAAAGATCTAGGTAATATGAAAGAAGTCTGAAGAAATTTTGATTACTTGTTAGTGCCACACAAAATGCAGAGATGCCAGTAGCCAACTCATACTAATATCAGATCTGTATAATATGTGTTGTATTTAATGCTACTTTTCCCAATTTCAGTAAAATTATTTCCAAATAACTGATTGACTTTTTACTGTCAACAGCATAAGCTGCTAGGCTGGCAGTTGAATTAAAAGATGAAGAAAGACAAAGAGAAAAATGAGACTGCTAGTTGACAAAACAGAATTGATCAGTCACAGTGGAATATCCTGTTTCATCAAGAAGGCCTGATGAAGCCTCATGAAGATGTAACTTGATTACCTTTCCCTGACTTCCAAATGCAGTATCATATGTGCAAACAATAACTGAAAATCTACTCACTGGCTAGTCACACAAAAATGAACTTTCACACTGTTGGGTCAGTTGAACAGTTGCTCACAGTTGAACAGCTTACAGTGCAGAACAATGTTGAGCGTTAGCCAAAACTTAGCTATGCTTAATAGGATACTATCTCCCAGTGTAAATGTTCATAAACATTTCTAAAGCCTGTAAAAATGATATTTCTCTTTGATATGCTGTTCAAAGTGAAAACCCTGTTTCCAAAATTAGAAATTCTAATAGGGAAATAAAGATACTTACAAGGAGATGAAGATAGAAGAAAAGATAGTAGTGTGCTATCTTTGGAATGAATATGATCTGATGGGATGATAATAGGAGATTGATTATATTTCTCATTTTGGAAGAGCTACTGTGCATTCCCACTGTTACAACAAGAACAACGATTATGTACACACTTCCTTTTAACAATATTTTTCAAAGGGCTTCATAAAGGATGTTAGGATCATTATCCTGACTTGACTGATAAGAAAATCAAGAAACAGACCACTGAAAAAATAACTAACTGAACGTCACCTGGCAGGCAAGTGGAAACACAATATTTCAAGTTTCAGTCCCATACTCTTTTGGCAACACCCCACTGATGCTTTCAAATGCCACTGTCCAACCAGGTGAATGTTCATAAAATTTATAAAGGCATTGATTGTGCTCTTCTGACAAGCTTGGCCCTAAGCACCTACTAAATATTACAGCAAGGACTTTATTGACTATTAAAATGCTCTCCTCTAGCAAAGCCATCCAGTTGTTAATGGCTGGCAGGAGTTCAAAATTCCTGTTTAAACCAGTCTATCTCTTTGACATGTCCTTGCAGGTTTGATCTTTCCCAGCTGTGACATTTCTGATAAGAATAAGTAGGATAGGCAGTGATACTTTGCTGTTGTCTGGTGTAGCCATTCCCCTGTGAAGGAATTTCAACATGTAAAACTCCAATACTTCCCTATATCTGTTACCTCCTCAGCCATTTGGTGACACTACTTCTTTAAAACAAATAGTTTTGAGAAACAACAACTCAAGCAAAATTTTCTGTTGAGAGAGCACGAAAAGTTCACGAGCTCTATCAGACATGACATTAGTAGCAAAAATCTTTGGCTTTCTCAGACAACAAACAGCCAGTTACTGAACCTAAAGATCTGTGTGCCAGGGAGGAAACGCAGAAGGGAGTACTTTCTTTGCCCTCTCAGTACCTCCACTTGCCTCCCCTACTAAAGACTGTTGGCTACTCCTCTGTCACTAATCTAACTCGAAGTTTTGCTTGCTACTGGTACAGAAATGTTCACCCATGCCACAGCTGCCAGATTCTGACCTCTTCATTCAACTCGGATATCAAAAAGGGTTATGATCAGTGCAGAGAATCTGCCTGAAAATGTAGAATGCAGTATGTGATAGTGCATCATCCAACATTTAACACAGAAATGTACCACTGTCTGAATGCAGGCAGGATCTGCACCAAAGAATCATTTCCTGTTTCAGATCTGTACTACCAAGAGCACTTGACAGTTACTCAGAAGCTGTTTTATTTTTGGCTAGAGGAACGACTCTAACTTTGAATTAAAAAAAATGGAATTTATATTTGTAATTAAAAATTACATTTTCAAGCATGGATCAAATAAAACAACACCGCTGTGTGTAAATGATACACACACAGTATATTTATAGGTTAGATATTACACATAATTGCCAAGTATATTTGAAAGGCCAAACCCTGTTACTTTGAACTGACCTAAATACCCACTGAAGTCCTTAATACATGATTGCTACAGCTAAGTTGTTATGACCCCTTCTAGATGACAACAGACACTCTGATGTTCTGCACTCTCTGCTATCTCTGCTTTTATTTGAACTTCTACTGCACAAATTCATGAGCCACTGGATTGTTTACTACAGCATTACAAAAGATGAGAACTCATTTGTTTGTGATTTTTTTCTGCCTGTTTGACTTCAAAGTATCTTTCTATTTCAGCAAATAATAACACTCCCTGGCTCTCTGCACCATCCCCTCCATCCTTTTTACAGGGAAAAAGTAGACTTCATTATTTCTGCTAGTGGTGTAAAACTCTTGAGGATGTTCTGTGATCTCCTGCCCAACTCTCAGCAGTCACAGCAGAAGAGAATCCGGATGACCAAGCTTTTCTTTAGCAAAGGAAAGTCATCTATACAAGAATAAAAAAATGTCCATTTATTTTGCTTGAGTACTGGTTTCCTGATTCCTGTTTTTTTTCCCAGCCCATTGAATGTTCAATTCCCACTGTACAATACCCTCAAAATACAGGAAGGATATGATCAGTGGGCTTGATTTCAAAGATGCAGAACTACCACTGAACTGGATCTGACTGAGTTTAAATGGCCCTGGGGCATTTTATTGCCTTGGGATGGATTTACAGATCCAACCATTAAAGTACAAAGATGTAACTTAAAATGTATAAAATCATCCCACAAGTCCTTGCTTGTTAAAAGATTCAGAGACATACATGATATTTCTACAGCTGCTTAAAACGCCAGAAACATATTCATTTCAACCAACTTTGTTTTAAGAACAAACAGTTTTGCAGTCATTCATTACTAACCTGGCTGTTAAAGTGGGAGAGATGACAACAGAGGTAAAAATCTTCACCATAGCCATTTTACAAAGATCAGCTGCAGAGCCTATGAAAGAAAGGGATCTGCTTTTAATTTAAAGCACGCAAAAGGAAAATGTTCCTCTTGGAACTATGGCATAGGAATGAAAAACATCTGAAGATTCTGAATTGTAAGAATTTTCAAAACTAGCAGATCCAATTAATGTAATATTTGTAACAAATTATAAGATTAATGAATAACAAACAAAACAATTATGAGTTAATTAAAACCAGAAAATAACAATACGAAATTATGCATAAATTAAAGGTGAATTTGTCAGTCATAGCTATAGGTGGAAAAATTCCTTTTTATAAAAAAAAAGCTTGAAATTATTTAAGTTTGAATTAAAATTTACCTATAAATCAATTAAAATTTAATGTCACAAAAGGTCAGAAAATTGTTTCAGTGCTGCAATTCAATTTGGAACCTTAATTTTGTACTTTTTCATATTTCCATGTGTATGTGATGTATATTCATTACATTACAGTGTTAGGAGCAGTGGTGCATAGAACAGTGTCATGGTACATAATAGATGGCACATTTCTGGTGATCAAGAGGCAGAATGATTCTCCAGGCCTGCAGTTTGGTGAAAGGCTCTGTTCTGAGCCATACACTTGACATAAAAGATTTATCAGATAAACTACAGAAATAATCCTTAAAGTAAGGATTGGAAGCCATAATCATCTTCGTCCCACCAGATATCCTAAATGTCCTAGATCGCAGACATTGCCCTTCTCTCACCCTGTAACTCAATGAATTTTGAATTCTTTCTTCCAAATGGCTCAACTTCCAGAGTAGGGATAAGGAACAGCCAGGTAGGTAAATTGTAAGGGTACCATGCTGGGAGATGATCATAGAATCATAGAATATCCCCAGTCAGAAGGGACTTATAAGGATCATCAAGTCCAAATCCCTACAGGACTTAAGATGTCCAAGAGCATCATCCAGACACTCCTTCAACTCTGTCAGGCTTGGTGCTGTGACCACTTCCCTGGGGTTGGCCCTTCTGGCTAAGGGAGAATGTCTAAGAGAATGAGGACTCAGACTTAACAGCTCTTCTTCCTCCACAGTTTTTGATGACAAACTGCCTCCTCTGAATCTCTTGCTGAGACTGTTTTGGTCATTTACTGTACCAAGTGCAGACCTAGGGCTGATAATCGAGATGGCAGTGTCTGACTGAGAGTTTAGCCTCAAATACCTGTCTTGTTTTCCCATTCAAATGATGTGTCAAATTGATTCAATACATCACAAAAAAGAATAGATTGGTATAAAAGGATGTTTCAGCAAAGATCAGGTAAATATCTTCTTAGTGATCATGAGAATAAACCCATTTAATTGAGCATTTAGACCATCACAATACATATGTTCAATATATACTCTTCAAGAAAAAATGTAAGGTAATAAAATATAAAAGAATTCTCAAAATCATTTTTCTGAGATATGATTTTTAGAGATAAGCTATTTTAAAATTTTAAAAAGAAAATAATTATATCCTTCTCGTTGATTTTGTAACAACTATAAATAAATTATAAAAGATAAAATTAATTATTTACTCTATATGGACAGGTAGAGCTGAATCATAACTGAAGAATATTATGCTGTATATTGGTGAAAACTACTGAACTGGGAAGAATTTAAAAAGAGAAAAAACACTATGAAAGAAGGGTGAGAAACCCACAGCAAGTAAAAGCTGGAACTCTACATTCCTCTCAATACTGTCATGCATCAGAAGTCTTCTGCTACCAGTTGCTGCTACCATAACCAAAATGCAAAGTACTTAAATTAATTAGACTATTAGGTATAACTATAGAACACATAAATTAAATGCAGTTTAGTTCACTAACTGTGACAAAAGTTTTTAACATAATTGATAAAGATCTTACAGTCTTAGAGTCCTGAACCTCGCCGGAAGAGAAGAGAGCGAAGGCCTCTCCTCCCTTCTTATTTATACCCTGGTCTATGTAAAAATTGTATGGAATATTGGGAACATGGCCACTTCCTTCGTTACAAACTGGTCACCAAGGAAGGCCTAGATTAAAACTACCACAACAGGTATGCCCATAAACCTTTGCTGCAGATCTCACAAGGATATTTTAAAATTCTACGGGGGAGGGGGCCTCCTACAGCAAGGCACCGTCACTCGAGCACAGTTATCACTCCAGCAAAAGGGTATTTATTAGAATTCTAGATCTGTAGGTGTCTCTGCAGAGACAGTACTTAAAGTCAGTTACAAATTATGAGGAGTGTCAAACATGACATAAATACTTAAGTCATTTTAAAGATGAAACATTAAAATTAATAATATTTGGAGAGATAAAACAAAACCAAACAACCCAACACACCATCCTTTCTAAAGGAAAATCCAAATCACTTTATAAGGAGCACGCCATCACCATGTCTAGAAAGCACTTTTCACTTGCCTATAAATTGTACACTTCCAATATAACTTAAGGAAAACCCTGTCAGTATCACCCAATTAAAAAAGTAATTCTTCCAAGGGATAGCTTGGTAGGAAGGATCTCAGTCTTGGACTGACAGCTCAGGTTGGTTTTTTCCCTTGGGTAGCTAAATTCTGTACACAACTGAAACCCAAGGGATTTAAACAGAGTATATTAATGCATCAGATTAACTAGCATATAAGCACTTACCACTGATTCCTACATTTTCAATCTGTATGGTAAATTGGCAATGTTTTTCTGAGAAAAAACACCTTTTTTCTTGCCCTTCACAGAATTAAGTTTGAATGTTTCTTACAAAGAATGAGTTGGGTATCAAATCAAGTAACAACAACACACAATTATTGTAATGTTTGGTATTTCTTAAACTAAAGCTATCTGGCAAAATAAAAGCTAGAATCTGTAAGCAGCATAATCACAGAAACCCTTCTGGAATAACAAACTACGAAAACCAGAAAGGAAAATGTTTAAATACAACAATGCATCAGAAGAACTGAATTCTAGATATTCTCTCTATACATAGTTTGTATTATTTAACTACCACAGAGCACTCCAATGTATTAAAATATTTATACTGTTGTTGTTATTATTATTGTTGTTGTTTACTGGCAATTTCCAAGATAGTCAGATTACATAATTTTAACTTCTCTTTCATAGTAAAACTCACGCTTCCTCCCGCAGACTACAAGAATATTCACTCTTCTGAGATTACCAGAACTGTTGGTCACTAAAGCCAAGCAGAGATAAAGAGACAGGTAGATAAGCAGGAAGGTGGGTGGGCAGTTCTTTACCTTGAACAACAAAATTGACCGCCTGCCTCTCTGCTTGAGTGCGTAACTTGTAATCCTGGGCATTGATATTGGCCAGGGGTCTTTTACGTCCCATTATGGAAACCACATAACCTGGTAGGATTTAAATAGAAATTGGTATTCGTAAGAGTGATTAAATTTCAAATATTCTTTTTGAAGATAATATAGATATTTGTAATTACGTGCTGCCTGAGTCAATTTAATATTTTGTACTCTGAAAACAGACCTTATTTAAACTTGAAATGCTTATTGTATTTTGGATTTAATAATTATTTCAGTCAGAGAATTAGTACATGTTATACAAGGAAAACTTCTGTTCATTAAAGCTGTATTTTCATTAGGAATGTCTACTGATAAACCATCAAACTCTCTCTCTGGGAGATGAAACTATAAATACCTAGCAGAATTAGCTACCTATTAGCAGTCATAATTAGAGCTTTCCATGCAATGAGTAGTTTACTTGGGAATAGTAAAGAAAATCGATTTGTAGAGTAATTAAATCAGTAATGAATATATTCCAAAAATATAAAATAGTTTTTGGGGAAAAAAAATTATATCTTTTTTTTCCATTTCCTTTATGTGGCATTTCTGTGTTCCTTTCACAGCCAAATTTCCTTAACTTTAGTGTGGTGGGAATTTTTTAAAAGAAACATCTGAAAACACAGTTAAAGCTTTATGTTATGACTAATGATGTATTTTGCTAAAAAAATCTACTTTAGAGGGCAAGAGAGAAGAGTTGAGAGGGAAAAGAGATGCAAGGATCCTCTTATCAGAAGAACACATACAAAAACTTAGCTCATCTTAAAAACGAAACTTCTTATTTTAAGACAAATGAAAAGATCATCCACATTAAAAATAAATCTTTAAAAAACTATTTTGCTGTACTTCTAATCAGCTTGACTACCCATGAATTGTCATTATATACCATGGAAGTTCAGACTGCCACGGCTTCATCTCCTCTGTGGCAACCAAGCCATGCAAGTACAAGTGGTTGGTAAGGAGACCTCTTCAAAGAAAAAGTTAGAACCTTACCATGAACAACACACACCCAGGCTTGTGTGCAGAGCAAGAAGATGGCTCTGTTGAATTAATACTGCTTCCTGCGAATTACTACATGCTGATACCAAAAGTACCAGTTTTGGAGCAAGGAACTGAGTTATCTGGGGGCTAGGATGTTCTTTGGCAAATCAGTCTTTCCAGTTTAACTAAGATTTTCCACAAAGAACAATATTTAAAGATGGAACTGTTGAAATATTATATTCTCAGGTAAAAACAGATTTGCTGTAATCTCCTTATTCCCACGAGGTGTGACTCCACAACTGAATCACCCTTGCAGTACTCATAACTGATCAGCATCTCCAAACAAATACCATCATTCATGTAACAGTGGCAGAGGATGTGTCTGGGGTCAATGATTAATCTGCAAATACATATCTGAATACAGCCTTTTTAACATGCCAACAGTTTCATTAAAATCAACAGCAATATAGTAATAAATACAATAACAAATATCTTCATCAAAAATAATTATTTATAAGCTTATCATGTCTACACGGAGTATTAGACATTCACAACACCTAAATAATAGTAGTAGGGTGGGTGCTGCTCACCTCTGAACTGCAGATAAAGAAAATTTACCTAAATATGACCTCACTAGGTTGGAATGTTTTTGTTGGAAAGTTAGAATCTGAGGTGGATTAACAAGAAAAATATTAAATAATGCTGATCTGCTGCAGATTTTCAGAGGTTGTACAACCCAAACAGATTGCTGTTCTACCATTAATGGCTAAAAAAAATGGTTGATAGACAGCAGTGCAAGAGCAGTAAGAAGTAATTAGACAAGTGTGTCTTTATGGCATTACAACATTAGTCATGACACTCTTGTCTACCAAGCTTATAAACCAGATTCTCTACCACAGAAGTTTGTATATTGAAATTCATTCATTTTTAAGAAAAAAATGCTGCTATTTTAAATAGATTCTAAATATATAATAAATGTGTAACACTGTGTAATATTTTACTAGGTACTTTATGTTGGGCTCAATTCTACCTGAAAATAGATTATGAAGTGGCTTCACTTTTCTTGACTAATATTAATGAATAAAGGAATGCAACTGCCTGACACAATGACAGCTCATACTTCCAGCAGATTTTTAGGCCCTACAAAGTACAAAAAAGGAATACTACCCATTTTCATGACTAGAAGTCAATTATATGTTTATATCATGACATACGATGACGGGTAATACTATATTGCAAATTTACTATTTATTTCTACAAAATGTCTTAGTACTGCATGCCCTATTAAGAAACAAAAGAACTCAATTTTGACAGTTCTGCTAATTAGCTTTTAAAAGACAGTATTTCAAGCAGCTATGTTTTCTCTCTTCAAATTACTGCACTCCTAGGATTCACTAAATATAAATGAATACGTAGACTAACAACAAATTTGATGCAAGAAGAGTTTGCAGCTGCTGGCTCCAAGAAGCACTCTGCACACATCTGTCATCACAGCTACCACCTGAACTTCAAGTACATAAATTCTGACTGATGCAAATAAAAAATAAGTTTTAAAAAATTGGCTGTGTAATTGGCTGAGCTTCCACGGTCCAGCAGCCGTGTAGCCTATTTATTAAGTAAAAGATTCCCCGGGGTTCTTTGTGTTGGAGTCCATCATATGTCAAAATGATGCAGTGTAACTTGACATTAAGTAGGGTTCACTCTGAGAACAGATGTCTTATTCTGTTAGCATCTTTCTGAGAAAAGGCAGACAGGCTTAAGCAGCTCCTCTTAGGGTTAAAAAAAGAAACAAAACCCCAAACCTGATTCACCAAGAAATGATATTCCATCATTTTTATTGTCCTATAACCCAGAATTTGGGTTGAGCTGAATCTTCACCACTGTCAAACAGTGCTGATCAGTATATAAAAGACGGTCACAGATTTTGGATTACCTTTATTTCGGCATTGCTCGATGGTTTTCTTTGTAAATTCATGCACTTTCTTGTATTTTTGCATAAAACTCTCTATAAACTGACTTGCTTGAAGAGGAGTAATTCCCAAGCAGTCAGCAAGACGTTCCTTACCTGGTGGTAGAGAAATTACCTTTATTATGCAATAAAGCAGAACAGAAATCCACTACATACAATAGCACTGTTACATGCACAATTACTGGAATTAACTTTCCTTAGCTCTCTCTGTGACACAGGATGGATCTGATATACTACAGTCACATTTCAACAAAATAAATGCTTAACTCTCAGTTTGAATGTTTTACTGAAGTTACTGGACTAAGTATATAATTAATAAGAAGTATACCAGAATTATGTAATTAAGAAATTCCTAGTTATAATTCATACCTACAATGTGGTTGAAATCTTTTGTTCCCAGAATAACTCTGTGAAGCTTAAAGTATCATTTTTATTAGTTCAGAGTGGAAATCTGCTAACTTTGAAGAGCAGATAAAGCCATGAAATCAATTTTAAACAAATACAAATATAATGAAGATCTAAAAAAGGACAGAGATGTGTGAGGTTGAGTTTAGCTAGAAGCTTTAGAGTTGGTGTCAAAATCACAAAAACTTAACTGCTGAAGCAATCAGACCAAATAGCATGAATTTAGAAAGCCCGTTAGGAGACTGAGTCACATGGATTTCAAACAGGCTTCTCAATATGTGTAAAAATCTGGGTCCAAGTTTTGAGATAAAAGGGTAGGAGAAGGAAAAAAATCCAAAAAAAGTGTTTCAATAGAGAGAAAGGAGTAATAGCTTTTGCATAGGATATAGGTACACAAGATATATTATGTTGGACCTAAAAGCACTTATAAAAATATGGGAAAAACCTGAAGACACTTTTTCAGTGTGAAAACATAAACTAAGAGCTACAGTTGAACCACATTTATAAACCAAACACTTCCAGCAAAAATAAAACATACATCAACATTAGTCATATGAAGTTTGAAAGACGGATATATTTGTGTCAGCTGCACAGCAACACAGAACCAGCCCTGTGCCTGCAAAGAACATAAGCTGAGAGGCGACGTCTCAAGGCACGAAAGGCACAGAATAGTCCCTGTCACGGTAATACTGTCAAGAAAAATTATCTAGCACTTTTAAAAGAGAGAGGATTTCAGCCACCTAAATGCCATCACTGTCAGTCTGATGTGTATTTCAGAATAATTCTGTAGCATTTTGTTCTCAGTCATGCCGGGATCTGCACTGAGCTGCAGGAACACCAGTCTGGACAGGGTGCTAGAGGAAGACATTCACAAGACATCCAGGATGACACTTGCTGAGCTATTATAGGTCTGTACTTTTCCTTTTTTTTTTTTTTTTTTTTGACATTTAACTAATTTGGGTTTTCTTCCTGGGTCAGCAAATGACAAATTTATCTGCTAAAGCATATATTGCTAACAGCTAGAAGATTTCTGTAGCTTCCTTAGAGAACTGTAACATCTAAGTTTGTCCATGTTATCCAGTTAAAGAACTATTAATATAGAGAACAAAGTATTGCATAAAATACTAGGAAAATTAAGGCACAAAATTAGCAAGGACGTCTGAAACGTCCCAGGGAAATGCAGTTCCTGGGGAGCAAAAAGAGGTGAAGGCACAGCCACATAATTGTGTCAGATCATGTTCCACAACACAAGAGCATAGGCCATGCCAAGCAAAGCCCAGGATTGGACTAAAGCTTCCCTGAGCACTCTCCTTGAGTTATCTGTGCCGGGGGAATTATAAGTAGCAGCCTGTGCTTTTTAGTGTTCTCCATTCTGTAATATCATCTTTCAAAATGGAAAATAGTATTAGTTTTCATTTAAACACTTCGATATCCCTCTGTGTCAATTTAGGGCTTGAGCATACTGCCACTGAACAGAATTAATTCCTTATTTTACAGATGTTTAAGTTCTCTGTGTTTTAGTTTTACAAGATGACTGAGGCAGGAGCAGGTGAATTGAACTACCCCAAATAAAGCAAAAGTATTCATAGAATCATAGAATATCCTGAGTTGGAAGGGACCCACAAGGATCATCAAGGCCAATTCCTGGCCCTACACAGGACACCCCAAGAACTGCACTATGTGCCTGAGAGTATAATCCAAACAATTCTTGAACTCTGTCAGGCTTGGTGCTGTAACCACTTCTCTGGGGAGCCTATTCTAGTGTCCAACCACCCTCTGGGTGAAGAACCTTTTCCCAATAACAAACCTTCTTTCTCTATTATCCTTCAGAATTACAGAAAAGACCTTGAAAACATAAACCAAGGATAACCTAAAGCTAAGAAAACAAAAAGAAAAAACAATTCTATTTACTACCTGACAAGTTTTCATTAACTTCTGTAAGCATAATAGAGGCAAGCTCCTCAGGGAATGTTTATGTAGTTTTTAATCCTAAAAGAAGTATTATTCACACTCTTCAGTTGTATCAAAATGTCTCCTTAATGAAAAGTGAGCCATCTTTTGAAGGGAGACAATCTGTGAATGGAATTCAGTCCATCAATTTCAGGTATCTAACAATTACTTTTTGTCAGCCCAGTTTCCATCTAAGTAGTTTAATGATATCATTTCATGTCTTAATTAGGATCTGATCACACAGCTAATGAACTGGAAACATCTTATTATCTTTGAGGTGCTTCAACTGCCCTCATTTGAGAGAGAGGGACACAAAGCAAGTGAGTAAAGGAGATACTTAAATCAAGCACTGCTGCACCAAAATATTCAGTAGCTGTTTCAGAGCAAGCGAGGGAGTGCCAATCCTGTGCTTAAATCTAATCATGGAAGTTCTCTATAGCATGAGCAGACAGACAAAGGCTCCACTGAGAGAGGCTCTAGCCCCAGTAGCTGAGGCATTTCTGACTATACACAGAACTACAGGGCATTCAACTGGCGGTGATTCAGTCTGATTACATCTGGTATCTGCTGTTCCACCCACTGTGAAGGGAAGAGATAGGAAATGTGCATCTGCAATGAACAAGGGGCAGGGGTGCTAATCCTCGCATTTTGTAAAATAACCCCGTGATGAAACCATTCAAGCTGGAAATGGGAGTCTGAATTTACATTGCAGGGAACAAGTGCTGGGCTTTTTAATGCAGATTTTAAACACGGATGTTTAAAATGCAATACAGCTTAATGTAAAAGTGCAGGTGTGTGCATATATATATTTACTCTTATATGTGTGTATATAACCTACACACCCCCTATACTTAAAAGAGATATTCTAGAGAGCTGAATTTGAAGTGTTTTTCTTCCCTTCCCAGTTGAATGCCATAAATGACAAATTGAATGCCCTGACCAATTCTGCCTTTGGTTCAAGAACTACTGGTGACTCAGTGCAAAAGATGGTTTAGAAAGCATTCTCAACCAGGAACCCAAGATGTAGCATTAAGTGTTTCCAAGTTACATAAAGACTGCAGCCCAGGGCTCTCATTTACTAAATGAGTTTTTCAAGTACTCATCTCGAGTAGAGCTTTTGGATTTCTCCAGAAGACCTATATAAAGTTTAGTCAGCTGTTCACTAAATCCAATTCACAACAGCTTGTAGGCTGATGATATACAAGGATCTCTCTCCCCAGAGAAGGTAATTCTAAACATGTATGAAGCATTAGGAGAGCTGGGCATCATTTAAGAAATGGTAGGCAGTTTTGGAAATCATGCTGAACATCTTGACTTATCTGGGACCTGGGCAGGACTTAGGCAGGATGGGAAACTGGATTTTGGCAAGTTTTCTGGATTGTGAAGAAATGGCAGTAAACATTAGGACTCAAAGTAATGAAATACTTTTACACTGTGAGGATGACCAAGCACTGGCACAGGTTGTGTAGGGAGGCCTTTCTCCAGCATTGAAGACACTGAAAAGCCATCTGGACACAATTCTGGGAATCCAGCTCAAGGTGTCCCTGCTTGGACATGGGGGCTGGATCTGATGACCTCCAGAGGTCCTTTCCAATCATTGTCATTCTGTGATTCTATAAATGTGTTTTGAGACAATATTGGAGAACTTTTAATTTCATTGCCGTTATTCTCATCTCTATCTATATACCGAGGGAATGCAAAGTCCAATCAAAATTAAACTCATTTTAGATAAAGCAAATGCTTCAGTTACATCAGCAGCAAATAAATACAGAATCAGATAATCTTTGTATATGGCAATTTGATAATTTTGATACTGGGTAGATAATTTAATAATCCTTGATGAAAATAAAAATGTAATACTCTGACAAACTTTTATTTACCTTTAGCAATTCAGTCTACTTATATAAATTACGTGTAAAGTATAAACTTACTGCAGCTGGGGTTTTTTGCTAAAAAATGCCTACCTGCTCCATAAACCACTGAGTAAACTATACGCTTTGCTTGCTCTCTATCAGCATGTTTCACTTCTTCACTTGGAATACCTTTCCTAAACAAACAAACAAAAATCATACATTTTCAGTTAAAACTAATTTGTTATCCATACAGAAAATGTATTTAAAGCCAATAATCATTTAATAACTACAAAATTGTAAGATGTGAATAGAAGCACTTAAAGGCTTTTGTTGTCAGCTAGGAATGCACACCTTCTTTACAAATTTTGATGGTGATAGTCCACAGTAAATGAAAATATTTATTTTAATCCTAATCTTCTCCTTTCCTTCTCAATCAAATTCTTGGCTAGGAAAAATCCTACTACTATATTATTAGTTCTTTAGATTGAGGAGGATTTAATATTGACCCATGAGAAAAATTAGTTATTTCCAGCAATAGCATTTCTTCAAGATGTGAGAGTCCAGAGATTCAAAACATAAGTCTGACCTAAAGCTGTTTTTTAAAAGGTTATTATTAGGGCTTCACTAACAGGAATATCCAAGCTTTTATCGAGAAATCGACTGATAGAAGCATGCACCGAATTCATCCATATGCCTTACACACCTCCACAATAGCAGGACTTCACAGAACAGCAGCACTGACTGTTTCTGAACTAGAGAGTGTAGTTACGTTACTCCCAGCAAAGAATCATCCTTCCCAGTTCCCATTCACAGATGTAAACAGTCCTATAAAGGGCTAATGGATTTAGCAACGTGAAAAATAAAACGCTGTGACTCTGCTATAAAGGTGTGCCACCTTATCCAAATGCAGCTTCAGAAAGGATGCTGATATTATTGACAACTGAAAGCACCGAAGAATATCGATCACTTGGTGTAAAAGGAAGTGTGTTGAGGGCAATCTCAACCATCTACTCACACTGAAGACAAATACCCACACAAATTGCATTTGGAATATGGGAGATGAATTGTTATCAGAGATACTTGATGACATCTGCACTCTTTGGGAATAAGTTTCCTCATGAGTCTGTTCATTACAATTTTTTTACAAAGTTTGCTGTGGTTTGTTATAAGGGGTTTTTGCCATGACAGATGCTTTGTTCTGAAAGTTTTGGCTAAGGAGCTTTGAGAAAATGTAGGTGTATTCCTGTATATCTTCTTGAAGGAGAGTCTTTCACCATTATTATGCTACTCGAACACCTAGAAAATCAGCAGAACCACCAATTTTTGCTTGCTTGGCCCACATACTGATTTTAGTCTGTGGTTAGTGTTGGTATAATCAGGCATTCTGAATGATACACAGGTAGACTTTGAGTGTAATCAGATTTAAGAAAGTCCTTAGGGTAGTACAGATTTTTTTGAAGAAGAAAAATAAAATTGAACATAATTTCAAACCTTCATCAGGCAAATAGTCTTCAGTTTTGTAGAAGCTCACGTTGCTCCTTTGAATGTTACTAATTGCTCAAAGGTAAAATGGACTTTTTGCTGCTTAGTTTAGCTGAGACATATGAGCAACTGGATAATTTAATATAGTGTTTTCCATATGGAATAAAGACTATTCCCACTCAAGTCAATCATTCTGCTAGTTTGAGATTCTTATAATTTATTTTCTTAGTTATGCCAGGTCAAAAGTTCATGGATCTTTTGAACAAAGTAGGTTGAGATTCCCAATTGTACCTGAGTAAGAGGACAAAGTGGCAATTGGAGCTAATAAGTGCAGAATTAGGAAATTAGACATCATTAAGGATTTCCTGAAACAATCTCCAACAGAAAGACTGCAGGAATTTCCTGGAGAACCTGGCAGAAAGCTATACAGACACTTGAGAAAGCATCTATCCAGAACCAGGAGGGAAAACAGAATCTGGTAAGAGAGCAAATCTTACCTAAGGACCTTTCTGAGATGCAGAACCAAGACTGAAGAATGCTGAAAGCAGGGAAATCATACAAAATGTAATACTGCTTTCCTAGTATAATTTGAACTAGAGGCCTGGAGAAGGCAAGAAACAGGAAAACAGCAACAGAATTTACTTGCAGATTTACTGAAGTCGGAGGCTTGAGACAGCTGAGAGGCAGCAGGAATGTCAGCTGCTCACTTCTCTGAAAAAGAAGGGCTACAATAGAAAGAACACAGTGGGTAAGAAGTCATGGAGACCTGTAGAGAAACGTAATAGAGAAACATCATTCTCAGATCATGGCACTGAGGAAGACACAAGGTGAGACTTGCTGGGAGGGACTGGTGGTATTAAAGACATTTTAACAGTGAAAGGTGACACTAGGACTTGATTATGGGCACAGTGAGAACTGCTGCCAGGATTTTGAGGATGATTGTGCGTTATCCAAACTTCAACTTGAAAGGGCTGACTGGGAAAAACAGAAATAGTCTTACTGCTGTAATCATGATTGGCAGTGTCAGCTCTCACAATAAAACCTTGCCCAACACAATTATCAGTGCAGATGTACGTGTATCACGTACTTATGGCAACTCAACAGTCACTTTGCATTTCCTGGTCTGTGGTTAATCAATAAACAATGGAAAGATATTCAAATTTCAGAGCTTTGTGCCAAATATTTCCTTTAATATAATACTAAAACCAAAAGGGTCAGTCAACACCTCCTAGTGTGTCAGTGGGAAATGTGAGCACTGGGCAGAGAGGCACTACATCTGTCAAACTGAGTATTTGCAAATTCATGTACCACATGCAAGAACACATAATAATAAAGTAGGAAATTGCTATATAAATCAAAACTGCTTGAGCAAACAGAAGTCATTAATCAAAACTATTCATTCTTTTTCCTAATAAATGGGTTTTTTTCTGCTTGTATTGACAATGATTGGTTTCTACTCAAATGTTTGATTCCCTCCGTAATACAGAGCAGCATTCCTGCAGTTTGAGCTGAAGGATATTTATTCCTTTGAAAAACAAAATTAAAGGGGAGGTGTGTAGTTCCTCAGATTTGCAGCAGCCATGTTAGAAATCCCCAGTGGGCTTTCTGCTTCATCCTGTTTCCTCGACAAAATAATTTGTGTTTCTTACAAAAACAATTTGTTTTAAATGGGTACTGTGAGAACCTATTTCAAGACAAAACTCTTCTTTTGTCTTTGGACTCATGGAACACCATGATGTTGAAAAGAAGACATTGCTATCTGCTTATTTGTATAAGTAAATTTTAAGTAAGCCATCCAATGCATGAAAATACTCAGTGCTGAATTAAGGTAGGATTTAAAATAGATCTTTAATGGAGATGAATTTTTCTGAATACATTTGAATTTGGAAAAGGAAGGTGAATGGGCATTAAGCAGTCTCAGATGCCGGGCAGTGGCACTGAGGCACTGACTCCAGCTCACCCAGCACTGTGTGTGCAGCTGGAGGAAGAGGAAGAATGTCAATGCAATGTTATAGAAACTGCTGCAGGAAAAAAGCTCAAGAGAAAAAAGAATTTGCTTCAGACTTAGTTGTGGAAACAGCACAATTCCTGAAGCCCTGGAGGAAATTAATACACAGTTAACACTTCTAGCATGAAGTGTGTTTTTCCATTTCATGACATCGTTCTCATTACTCGTTCTCGCATATGCTGGGAAAAGTTCAAGTCCATAATCAATATTTTCACCATCTTCAAATCTCCAAATGTGCAGTATTTCACCTCCTACATTCCTGTTCTTGCCTGCATACTTGTCTCAGGTTATTTCCACATCTCTGACTTGTTTGTCCTTTACCTTGCTTTGTTTAGCACTGCTCTGCAAGTACTTTGCTCTATAGTACTTTATTTGATAGACATCTACTAGGTAGAAAAAAGAGCAGATCTCAGTGCTGGAAGACACTTTCAGGGTAGCAGATCTCATTATTCTGGCAAGGAGTTAGCAGAGCTAAACAATCTGGAAAGGTCTGTGAGGACAGAAAAACAACTTAAAGCCACAAATTGTAGAAAATCTAATGAACATTGTGAGAGTAGAGATATACCAAGTCCTTAAAAAGGTGGTTCTACTAAGCACGGGGGCTGTATGCCTAAAAGGAAATAGCTGTCTTATTCTGAGAGTGAAAAAAATTGGACAAAAATTTTCTAGCAAACAGTGTAGAAGGATAACATCAAATTATTATTAAAAACAAAGTGCAAATATGAAACAAAAAGAGGCATATACAATTTATTACTTTTTCAAAGCAAATATCTTGAATATTTTCGTAATTTCTCCAAAGTCCACCTTATGTTTTCATATATTAATGGGGTCTAATGGACATCGCAAAGAGTTTCTACTGCATTAAGTCTTTAAAACACATGAATAAGTTTCTTTATGTCCCAAGAAAAAAAATTAGAATCATATTTGTAATTTTAAAAAAGGTTAAGTACAAAGGGGAATAACACGTTTAATACAGAGTAGAGATCTCAGTGGATTTTTACCTATACTGAATATTTTTAAAAAATTAAAACAAATTTTAGGACACAGAAATGAGCTCCCACAGCATTAAGTATATGAACACATCAAAAAAAAATTTTTAAAGAAATGGAAGAAGTCACAGGGCATAAAGTTTGAGCAATGCCAAAATAAAACTTTGAGAACAGGTAGAAATAGGAGGAAATAAGTCTTAAAAGAATGCGATAAGACATTCCAGAATTTCTGGGAAACACTGTACGGTGACGGAAGTCGACTGTTTATGCACAGGAAAAGGCAGAACAAACTTCTGAAACACAATATCTGGCAGACATGCATTGCCTTGATCTGCACTACATTCCAGCCAAGCTAAGCTCAGTCATAATAGTCACAAACTCTTGGCTGCTCTCTTGCACCTGCCAATTAATCCAAGTCGTAGCCATGAGTTGTTGATGTGGGAAAAGAGATGGAGTGCCATTAAATTCATTTTATATGTGGTCATTATTGTCCAATAAATGAGTGAATGTATGGGTGAATACACATTCCTTCATCTGGCTGCTTTTACAGATTTTTTTATTTTCATCAGTGAACTACATAAATCTCTCATTTTCAATCACCTGTTGCTGTTTAATAGCAGATGAGGGTTTTATATTTTCTAAGTTTGTGCCTAGACCTTTGTGTTGGCATATGAAACAGGTACAGAAAATTTATGTTCTTAGTGACAGCTGCCAG